AGCTATGCTGGCTGGGGAATTCTGGGAGCTGAAGTCCACTCCTCTTAAAGTTCCCAAGGTTGAGAAACAGATGTAAATGCCCTATAGATGTATAAATGCATAGTTGCAATTAAAAGCTGAAGTCTTCAGAGGCTGAAGCCCATCCATATCCAAAGGAGCTACATTTATTTCCATATTTGCTTTGATAAAGCATTTTTTTTAATGACTCTAGGCAAAATACATAGCTTAACAACTTCACAATATTTTGTTAAATGTTTAGTATGCATTTGGAAGCAGCAGGGATTTTTCCTGCAGAGGAAAAGACATTTGCAGGAAAGAAATTCCTTTTGAACCAAATGGGATTGACTTTCTGAGTTATTTATTCGCAGATTTATATAGCCGCCCGTTTCACAGAACATGACTCTGGGCGCTGTACAAACATAATAACAAAACCATAAAACACTCAGACATAAAGAAAAAGAAAACATAAAAATCCCAAGTATTTATTTAATACTTCCTAAAGGTAATAGGAAAAGGATGGGTATTCGTTAACTGTTTTGTTCAGAGAATATTTTAGGAATATTCTCAGGGAAAGAAATCAGAGCATTTTCTGTTGCCCAGAATTTACAGGGCTTCTTTTAAAACTGCCATAATGAAATAGATTCTTGGTTTAGAATCTAGTTAAAAACAGGTTTATGATAAAACTATGCTGAAAACATCTTATTTACTTATTTATTTCATTTATTCAATTTATATGGCTGCCGACTTGCCAAGCAACTCCGCTCAGTTGGCAACATTAAAAACTCAAGAAATAAAAATCCAGAAAAAAAGCCCAGACCTTAAAAATGCATAATAAACCCTGTAGCACCAGGGTCAAAACTGACCTCACATGGTAACCCAGAGTATTTTGGTCCAAATGCCCAATGAAACTGTCCAACAAAAATAATAGACAAAATCTAACCTTAATGCCAACCCCAGCTTAATCCCAGCCAGAAGTGCTTTAAAAAAATAATTACTGCCTTAAATAAAAATTGCAAGGGAGGTGCTGATCAGATTCTAGAGCAGTGTTTCTCAACCTTGGGAACTTTAAGATGTGTGGACTTCAACTCCCAGAAT